GCCTGGCTCTGGGGCCTCTGTGAGCCAGTGGCAGCTGTGTGAGATCCGTCTACGTCCATTAGATGCACCGTCTGGGGGGCTCTGGGCTGCAGTGGGTAAGCTGCAGGAGTGTAATGGGCTCAGGGGGGCACGCCTGCAGCCCGTGGAGGTGGCACCTGACCAGATAAGAGACAACTGACCTCCCCAGGAGGATGAGTGGTTGACCAGTGGAAGAGGTGACGGGAGAACGGTGTTCCAGGCAGCAGAACAGCAAGTACTAAGGCCCTGTGGCGGGGGGGAGCCAGCTAAGTTCTGGGAAATGAAACCAGACCAGAGTGACCAGAGCAAGAGGGAGGTGGAGGGTGGGGACAGTGAGAGGAGCAGAGGAGGATGGTAAAGAGGTCACTGCCTCGTGGGCACATTCGGAGTGCGACTGCTGTGATGAGGGGTGAGGAGAGGCCTGGGAGCCTGAGGCTGGTGGGGGGGCCAGGGCAGCTGTCCAAGCTGGGGTGGGCATACCATGGTATTGGGAGCCAGCAGAGAAGCTCAGCTAGTGGACTGCACAGGCAGACTTTTGAGCCGAGTGAAGGGAGGTCCAGGAAATTTGAGGAGGAGATAGACCAGGCCAGGGGGCTCACAGGCGGCTCCTGGGCTCAAGAATATGAAGTAGGGTGCCGGGCCCAGCATGCACTAGCCCCCTGCCTGGCCGGGAGGAGACCCACTGGGAGCTCAGGCAGGATGGACAGGCAACCTCTCACTGCATCTGGTCATAGTAATAGGGCGACATGAAGGCATGGGCTCGGTGGTGGGTCACATGAGCCTTTGGGGCTCCCCAGGTCTGCTGTGGGCACCCAGCTTTCCACAAGGGTCTGCATCAGCCCTGTGACAATCACACCAAGGCTCTGGCCTTCCCTGCCCCCTCCCTGCCACCCCAGCCACTTGGGAGAGTCATTTCATTTCTCAAATTAAAAATCCATTTTGTGCTGTGAATAATAGATAGTATGAGCCCGGGGAGGGTGGGTGGGGAGAGGGAGCTGGCTGGGGGGATGTTTTCCAGGGCACAGAAGATGACGTAGAACTATTGGTGGGGGGGCGCAGGGGCTGGCTGGGCAGGGTGGAGGCTGGGGGCATCTCTCAGAGCAGAGGCAGGGATGGGGGGTTCAGCCCCTGGGGGACTCCAAGGCCTATGGGCTGGAGGAACAGACAAATGCCACACACAGGTGGGCCAGAGGGGTGCAGAAACAGTTCTAATAATGCTGGGCTCCAGGCTGGGCCAGGTCTGGACTCACACTGGCAGCCCACCTTGGAGTGGAGCATTTAGCACTTCATTGAGGTGATAAATAGATGTGTCATTAGTGTGAGGACTGCTGCCCCCAGTGAGTGGGGTTGCTCTTCACCCCTTCCCCAGATCCCAGGCCTGGTGGTATCCCACCCAGGAGGGCTAGCTGGTACTGGGCATACTCAGGGAAGAGGCAGAGGTGAGGGGTTCAGGTCAGCTCCCTTGCGCCCTCTCCGCCCCTCTCCAAGGAAGCCCTGGCCGTGGCACCCGTACCCCGAGGTGGGCCTCTGGCTGCCTTGTTCAGGGCTTGGCTGGGTGCTGCTGTGTCCTGTGTTCTCTTACTCCTCAGTCAGGGTGTGACTTGACAACTGGGGGCTGGGCAGGAGAGCACTGGAACTAGGAGCCTCAGAAAGAGAGTGTGGGTGCTGGAAGCCAGAAGCCTGGCATCTTCCACTCACCAGCTCAGCTTCTCCTTCTGCGAGAGGGTGGAGGAGCAAAGGACGCGGGGCCCCGGCACTCCACTGGTGGACTGTGTGGGGCACCAGGACTGAGGGCTCGGGGGAAGAGATTGGTAGGTGACCCCAGAGAAGCACCTGTGTGTAGTGAGATGGCAGCCTCCCCCCAGGAAGGCAGTGGGGAGGAGAGAGATGACTTTCTGTCACCCGATGGGTCTTGTGTAGGACCCGAGAGCTTAGGCAGGTTTGCAGGCGGGGGTGCTATGTATGCGCAGGGCCTGGCTCTGGGGCCTCTGTGAGCCAGTGGCAGCTGTGTGAGATCCGTCTACGTCCATTAGATGCACCGTCTGTGGGGCTCTGGGCTGCAGTGGGTAAGCTGCAGGAGTGTAATGGGCTCAGGGGGGCACGCCTGCAGCCCGTGGAGGTGGCACCTGACCAGATAAGAGACAACTGACCTCCCCAGGAGGATGAGTGGTTGACCAGTGGAAGAGGTGACGGGAGAACGGTGTTCCAGGCAGCAGAACAGCAAGTACTAAGGCCCTGTGGCGGGGGGGAGCCAGCTAAGTTCTGGGAAATGAAACCAGACCAGAGTGACCAGAGCAAGAGGGAGGTGGAGGGTGGGGACAGTGAGAGGAGCAGAGGAGGATGGTAAAGAGGTCACTGCCTCGTGGGCACATTCGGAGTGCGACTGCTGTGATGAGGGGTGAGGAGAGGCCTGGGAGCCTGAGGCTGGTGGGGGGGCCAGGGCAGCTGTCCAAGCTGGGGTGGGCATACCATGGTATTGGGAGCCAGCAGAGAAGCTCAGCTAGTGGACTGCACAGGCAGACTTTTGAGCCGAGTGAAGGGAGGTCCAGGAAATTTGAGGAGGAGATAGACCAGGCCAGGGGGCTCACAGGCGGCTCCTGGGCTCAAGAATATGAAGTAGGGTGCCGGGCCCAGCATGCACTAGCCCCCTGCCTGGCCGGGAGGAGACCCACTGGGAGCTCAGGCAGGATGGACAGGCAACCTCTCACTGCATCTGGTCATAGTAATAGGGCGACATGAAGGCATGGGCTCGGTGGTGGGTCACATGAGCCTTTGGGGCTCCCCAGGTCTGCTGTGGGCACCCAGCTTTCCACAGGGTCTGCATCAGCCCTGTGACAATCACACCAAGGCTCTGGCCTTCCCTGCCCCCTCCCTGCCACCCCAGCCACTTGGGAGAGTCATTTCATTTCTCAAATTAAAAATCCATTTTGTGCTGTGAATAATAGATAGTATGAGCCCGGGGAGGGTGGGTGGGGAGAGGGAGCTGGCTGGGGGGATGTTTTCCAGGGCACAGAAGATGACGTAGAACTATTGGTGGGGGGGCGCAGGGGCTGGCTGGGCAGGGTGGAGGCTGGGGGCATCTCTCAGAGCAGAGGCAGGGATGGGGGGTTCAGCCCCTGGGGGACTCCAAGGCCTATGGGCTGGAGGAACAGACAAATGCCACACACAGGTGGGCCAGAGGGGTGCAGAAACAGTTCTAATAATGCTGGGCTCCAGGCTGGGCCAGGTCTGGACTCACACTGGCAGCCCACCTTGGAGTGGAGCATTTAGCACTTCATTGAGGTGATAAATAGATGTGTCATTAGTGTGAGGACTGCTGCCCCCAGTGAGTGGGGTTGCTCTTCACCCCTTCCCCAGATCCCAGGCCTGGTGGTATCCCACCCAGGAGGGCTAGCTGGTACTGGGCATACTCAGGGAAGAGGCAGAGGTGAGGGGTTCAGGTCAGCTCCCTTGCGCCCTCTCCGCCCCTCTCCAAGGAAGCCCTGGCCGTGGCACCCGTACCCCGAGGTGGGCCTCTGGCTGCCTTGTTCAGGGCTTGGCTGGGTGCTGCTGTGTCCTGTGTTCTCTTACTCCTCAGTCAGGGTGTGACTTGACAACTGGGGGCTGGGCAGGAGAGCACTGGAACTAGGAGCCTCAGAAAGAGAGTGTGGGTGCTGGAAGCCAGAAGCCTGGCATCTTCCACTCACCAGCTCAGCTTCTCCTTCTGCGAGAGGGTGGAGGAGCAAAGGACGCGGGGCCCCGGCACTCCACTGGTGGACTGTGTGGGGCACCAGGACTGAGGGCTCGGGGGGTCAAATCTCCAGTCAACTCCCGTGGCCCTGGTTACTGCGCTCAGGGCGGGAGCTGGAGCCTGTGGGGCCAGGCGTGGGGCGCGCAGCTCTGCACAGAGCAGGTACATAGTGAAGCAGGCAGGGCGGCCTAGCCGGGTGGGAAGGCCAGGAACAGATCAGTGGCAGCTGAGAGTCTGGGAGAGCGATGGCCAGGAGGGGGGCCCAAGAGCTGACCCCCTGGGAGGGAGGAGGGATGAGTCCCCCACCCCCAGCGGAGGAGCAGCAGGGTCCCTGGGAAGCCTGCTTGCCTTTGTGCCTTTCTGTCGGAAGAGAGTCGGCTCCCTGAGACAATATCCATTTTTATATTTCTTGGAAATTTCACGGCATTCATTTCAGGGAAAATAAAAGCTGTCATTGCCAGAGAAATGATACCAATCAGGGCCTGAAAAGGCTGGAAAATTATCCTCCTGGAGAGGGAACGTTGAGGGAAAAATGCAGATTAAAAGCACAAAGAGCCACTTTGCCGCCGCCCTGCCCTCCCCTCCCCCTACGGGATCACATTTTACATAATCCCACTTCTCCGTAGAATTAGCTGGATCCAAGCAGAGCGTATGGGGCAGAGGAGAACCCTGAAACGGCCCGAGGCGGAGGCAGAGAGTACCAGACCAGGCTTAGAGATGTACAGAGGGACAGACACAGGACATGCAGAGTGGGGGCAGAGGGGTCCGCTGAGGGCCAGGGACCCAGTAGCTGGGCTGAAAGCAGCCCCGGGAGGGGACAGGACCACAGGTCCTTTGAATCCTTGCTTTGTCACAGTTTCTATCGTATGGGGCCATCTTGGACTGTCTCAAGCACTGTTTAGGCCAGTCCTGCAGGTTGGAATGGTCAGGCCTGGGAATGCTGGTGCTCTGGGGGCCCCCTGCTAGGGACACGGCAAGCTGAGGGGGTACGTAGGGCAGGGCAGAGAAAACAGAACTCCAGAAACTAGTACTCATCCAGGAATCCCCAAGTTCCCAGTGCCCAACATGGGCCAGGCCTGTACCTGTGGGGTACAGTGGTCAGCCAGGCAGAAGGGGCTCCCCTCTGGACCCGGGAGCCTCAGGAGGGAGGTCACACATCAAAACTGCAAGGTGTCTGGGAAAAAGGTAGTGGGTGGATAAATTCAGAGTCCCCAGTTTAGGCCAGTCCTGCAGGTTGGAATGGTCAGGCCTGGGAATGCTGGTGCTCTGGGGGCCCCCTGCTAGGGACACGGCAAGCTGAGGGGGTACGTAGGGCAGGGCAGAGAAAACAGAACTCCAGAAACTAGTACTTATCCAGGAATCCCCAAGTTCCCAGTGCCCAACATGGGCCAGGCCTGTACCTGTGGGGTACAGTGGTCAGCCAGGCAGAAGGGGCTCCCCTCTGGACCCGGGAGCCTCAGGAGGGAGGTCACACATCAAAACTGCAAGGTGTCTGGGAAAAAGGTAGTGGGTGGATAAATTCAGAGTCCCCTCTTCCTAGTCTGTCCCCCCCAAGCAGTCCACATACCAGGGTCCTGTCTGAGGACCAGGGCTGCTGGGCAGGGCAGGAAGGCTCTTGCCCTCTCTGTCTCCAGAAAGAGGGACCCCTTCATTTCTTGCCAGCCCTTTTCTCTCTCCCAAGCCTGTGGCTTCCTTAGCAGTGGGTGCCAAGGCCACTTGCGGAGGTGTGCAGGGCCCCCTTCCAGACGCAGCTTCCGAGACTCTGGCTCCACCAGGGCCAACCAAAATCCAGACGCCTGCGGGGAGGGCTGGCATGGGCAGCTGCTAAAGGGGAGGACTAGGAAGCCCCCTTATTGAAGGCTGCCCTGCGCTAGGCACTGTGCCAGGCGGGTACAGGCACTGTTTCAGCGCACCCGCAGTCTTTCCGGGAGTCCTCCCTGGGCGGTGCTCCAGTCCGGTGGGCATCTCATCTCCAGCTTGTAGGCAGTCCCGCGTCGGGGCATCGGCTCGTGGGGAACCCTTCCCGGGAGTAGCAGGCGCCCTCGCTCTTCCCGGGACGCAGCTGGAGCTGGAACGCCTGATCCCCGAGCCTGTGCAAGACCCTCGAGAGTGTCCCCGCAATCGCCGTCTCCGCCCCCGAGCTGCTACAGAGCTGACAGGTAGCCGGGATGGAGGCAGGAAGAAGGAGGGGGCGCAGGGAGGGGGCTGGCGGGGGAGGGTGGAGCCGCTGGCGCGCCCCCTCCCTCGGGGCCGGCGGGCGGCGCGGCGCGGCGGCAGAGGCGGCGGCGGGCGCACGGAGGTAGCCGCCGCCTGCCCCTCTCCGCTTCCCTCCCGCCCCGGCTCCGGCGGCGGCCCGGGCTCTACCTGCTCCGTTCCCGCTCGGCCCGGGCGCGCACCTGCGGGGTAAGTGGCTCCCGACCCCTCTGCCGCTGCGGCCACCATCGCAGCCACCTCCGCCGCCACCGCCACGCCGAGCCTCCAGGCTTTGTCTGCATCCTCGCAGCTCTGGCTCCGGGTGCGGCTGCTACTCCTGGGCTCGGCTACCCGGCTCCGCGGACTGCGCGGCGCCGCACGGCAGGCTCCGGGGGTGAAACTTCGCCCAAGTTTGGGTTCCGGGGAGAACCTGTTGATGCTGGGAGCAGCCCAGGGAGGGGACCGGGGACCGGTAGGCAGGGGATGGTACCGGTTCCAATTTCTTAGGGCCGTCGGGGGTTTTTCTCCCAGATCTTGGGCCAGCCGGCGCGCGTCGCTTGGAAAAGGGGCTGGTGGGCATTCTGGCCACTGAACAGGAGACGGAGCTGGGGGTGCCCCTGCGTATATCCGCGAGGACAAAGTTTGGTTTCCGAGTCTCTTTCTTGAGCGTCTAGTTCCAGTGCGGGAAGCCGAAGACGGCCTCAGGGTCTGCATAGACGCGACCTAGACCGCACCTCCTTTCTCCAGCCTCCGCTTTTCCCTTCCCCCACCTGGCTTTGGCCAAAGCAGGTCGCAGACAAGAAAGGCAAAGGGAAGAGTAACAGCCTTTCACTGAAGGCCTACTACGTGCCAGGCTCCGTACCCGGTGTTTCCCTGCTGTTTACCAGGGGCCTCCCAAATGGGTGGCGGGCGTATGTGTGCAGGGAGAGAGGAGGCAGGTCAAAGGACGCCACCGTGTGTGTGGGAGGTAGTGGCCATCCTGAGCCTTCCTCTTCCCTCTTTCTCCGAGTGGTGGAAGGAGGCCAGGCCGCAGGCCTGCTTACTGTTGGGGCCTCAGGGTGGCCTCCAGCGCCTGACCTCGGCCTGAGCCCCTCCTCGTCTTGTTTGTGGCCCCCGTAGGATCCCAACGCCTCTCCAAGCCTGCGTCTACCTTCCTGCAGCTCCTGCTGGGGGGCCATGCAAAGGCCCGCGAGGAGGCCGGTGGCCCGGCGCATCCTGTAACCAAGATAGCCAGGGGCTCCTTGGCAGTGCCAGCGGCACCATGGAGACCCCGTATTCGATGACCGCGCACTACGACGAGTTCCAGGAGGTCAAGTATGTGAGCCGGTGCGGCACGGGTGGTGCGCGCGGGGCCTCGCTGCCTCCCAACTTCCCGCTGGGTGCTGGGCGCAGTGCCACTGGCGCTCGGGCCGGGCTGCCGCGCTGGAATCGGCGCGAGGTGTGCCTGCTGTCGGGCTTGGTGTTCGCCGCCGGGCTCTGCGCCATCCTAGCCGCCATGCTGGCGCTCAAGTACCTGGGCCCGGGCGCTGCGGGGGCCGGCGCCTGCTCCGAGGGCTGCCCGGAGCGCAAGGCCTTTGCGCGCGCCGCCCGCTTCCTGGCCGCCAACTTGGACGCCAGCATAGACCCGTGCCAGGACTTCTATTCCTTCGCGTGCGGTGGCTGGCTGCGGCGCCACGCCATCCCCGACGACAAGCTCACCTACGGCACCATTGCGGCCATCGGCGAGCAGAATGAAGAGCGCCTGCGGCGCCTGCTGGCGCGGCCCGGGGGTGGGCCCGGCGGCGCTGCCCAGCGCAAGGTGCGCGCCTTCTTCCGTTCGTGCCTGGACATGCGCGAGATCGAGCGGCTCGGCCCGCGGCCCATGCTGGAGGTCATCGAGGACTGCGGGGGCTGGGACCTGGGCGGCCCCGCCGAGCGTCCGGGGGCAGCAGCGCGCTGGGACCTCAACCGGCTGCTGTACAAGGCGCAAGGCGTTTACAGCGCCTCCGCGCTCTTCTCGCTCACGGTCAGCCTGGACGACAGGAACTCCTCGCGCTACGTCATCCGCGTGAGTGTCTCCCCCTCCCCCAGCCCGCAGACACGCAGCCCGCGGCCAGGGACTCAGGGCCCTGAGGTTCGCATGATCCCTGAGCCCAGGCGACCCGTGCAGAAGGGGAGGAGAGAGGAGCGGAGGGGGGCGCAAGTAATTTCCCTCGAGTAATTGCTGTGTTTAGCTGAGCCTCGGGAGCCGCAATTTACCAGCCCTCTGGCAGGTTTTAAGAATAGGGAGCGAGGGTGTGCTGATGCCCTGTGGCTACAGCTCTTAGGGGCTGGGGTGGATAGGAATGCCAGCGCCCCAACTCTCGTGAGGGGCGTGGGGGAGGAGTGCCCCTCACAGGTGGGGGACTATGAAGGCTTAGGAGGGAAGGACCGGGTCACAGGGGGAAGGATGGGGCAGCTCCCCTATGGCCCCCTAAGCCAGGCTGGTCAGGGGTGGGGTAGCATCTTTGTATTCCTGGGACTTGTGGCAGTGGGTGTCCTGGGCATCTGGGTGGGAATTGAGGCTGTTTGCAGGAACCTGGCATGTTGACTTCTGACCCCCCATCTCTCCCCAGATTGACCAGGACGGGCTCACCCTGCCTGAAAGGACCCTATATTTAGCTCAGGATGAGGAGAGTGAGAAGGTGTGGGGATGTGGGATGGGGCTGCAGGGAAGGCCTGGGGCCCCAGGAGGGACAGCCTAAGGCCGGCCACTGTTCCCCTCCACACCCTGACGTGTTCCCTCCTGGTGCAGATCCTGGCAGCGTACCGGGTGTTCATGGAGCGTCTTCTCAGCCTGTTGGGTGCCGATGCTGTGCAGCAGAAGGCTCAGGAGATCCTGCAGCTGGAGCAGCGGCTGGCCAATGTGAGCAGGGGACTGCTGTGGGCTGAGGGAGGGGACCGTTAGGCAGGGCTGGGTCAACTCTGGTCTCCACCCCAGATTACTGTGTCAGAGTACGATGACCTCCGGCGAGATGTCAGCTCCGCGTACAACAAGGTGACCCTGGGGCAGCTGCAGAAGATCACCCCGCATGTGAGTGATGCTCTGCCGTGGTGGGAGGGGCTGGTCCTGGGTCTCCCTGTTGTCCCCGCCCCAGCGATGGGCAAGGCTTTCCATGGCTGTGGCTCCTTGTGTCCTCTTGTTGCCTCTCCCTGGTCCCTTCCCTGTCCATGGTCCCTGCCACGCCCAGCCCCACTGTTCCCACCCGTGGCCCCATAGCTGCGGTGGAAATGGCTGCTGGACCAGATCTTCCAGGAGGACTTCTCGGAAGACGAGGAGGTGGTGCTGCTGGCCATGGACTACATGCAGCAGGTGTCCCAGCTCATCCGCTCCACACCCCGCAGGTACAACTGCCCACCTGTCCCTCCAGGCCCCTTTCCTGCACCCCACATCTGTCTGCTTGCTGAGCTTTGAATTCCCACTTCCACCTCTGTCCAGAAGCCACACTGGGAAGGCAGGTGAGGAGCACTGGAATAGGAGTCCAGGTCTCTGGGTTCAGACCTGGCCTTCCTTAGTCTCTGGGTCCACAGGCAGGGCTGTGAGTTTCCTGAGCTGCAGTATCCTCACCTGGGGATGGTGACGCTTGAGCGGGTCTGGACATCAGAAAGGGAAAGAGTGGCTGCAGCTTTGCCATCCCAGGGCCACCTTGGGGAGAGCTTCTCTGGTCTCTGCCCACTGTGGGGAGGATCAGGGGCCTCTCAAGGCCAGCCCTGAGGCAGACAGTCACCCCAAATGCCCCCTCTTCCACCCCATAGCAAGTCAGAAAACCATGCTAGCCTGTGACCGCTCAGCATCAGGCCCAGGAGCTGTGTGCTGAGGTGTACGGACCCAGCCCTCCTCCTTGACTGGGGCTTGGGCCACTCTGGGTTTTGCCTCCGCGTGCCTGGAGTGCCCCTCGCTCCTGTGAGGGTGGTGGGTGGGATCCCAGGCTGGGAGGAGTGGGGTGGGCCAGGGGAGAGAGGGGGCCAGTGCCCTCAGGTGGCCCATGCACGTGAGCCCGCGTGGACACCCAGGTTTGCTGCCTCACTTGGTCCTCAGGATCCTGCACAACTACCTGGTGTGGCGTGTAGTGGTGGTCCTGAGTGAGCACCTGTCACCCCCATTCCGAGAGGCGCTGCATGAGCTGGCACGTGAGATGGAGGGCAATGACAAGCCACAGGAGTTGGCCCGTGTGTGCCTAGGCCAGGCCAACCGCCACTTCGGCATGGCACTTGGGGCCCTCTTTGTACACGAGCACTTCTCAGCCACCAGCAAGGCCAAGGTCAGGCTTCCCTGGGCTGGGGGCTGGGGTGCGGGCGCTGAGCTAGGCCGGGTGTCCTCACATGGCCCCTTGGTCTGAGCCTCTCTGAGGCTCCAGGCTATTCTCCCCAGGCCTCCTGCCCCAGGAAGCACTCTGGTCTGTCAGCCACTGGAAACTCTCCCCATCAAGTTCCTGCCCTCCCTGTTCTGCCATGCTCAGTAGGTGTGGCCTGAGGAACATAAATGATCCTTTCTTGGGTGGTTTGCCCTCTTCCAGACTGTGAGCTTTTTGCTGGGGATGCAGGGCCTGTATCCCCATTTCCAAAGTCCCCCCTTGGTGCTTAGCACCAAGCCCTGGGGTTAGGAAGTGGTGCTTGATGATTAGGGGTACCACTTGTGCCAGGTACTGGGGGCTTAGCTAGGAAGCTAGGGCTTCCTGGGTTGACCCTTGATCCCTGATCTCTGACCCTGCAGGTGCAGCAGCTGGTGGAAGACATCAAGTACATCTTGGGCCAGCGCCTGGAGGAGCTGGACTGGATGGACGCTGAGACCAAGGCAGCTGCCCGGGCCAAGGTGAGGTGGGGCCCTGTTCCCATTTACTGGTTTCGCAAACACTTACTGAGCGCCTGCTGTGTGCCAGGTGCTGAGGATAACAGAAGAGTCAGAATGCCTCCTGTGGAGTTGGCATCACCAGCCTGCTATCCCCACTCCTTGGGCCCTACTCCCAGGCTGGCCCTAGAGCTTTCTCCCCTGGGGGATGGGGCAGTCTCCTGAGGCCCTGGCCCCACTCCCGCCACCCTCTGGTTTACAGCTCCAATACATGATGGTGATGGTGGGCTACCCGGACTTCCTGCTCAAACCGGAGGCTGTGGACAAAGAGTATGAGGTGGGTCTGCCCTCAGCTTGCCCTGACCAGCCTGGCTGGCCAGACTTCTCCAGGCCCCTGGTTGACACCCCCAGGGAGGCCCAACACCATCGCAGAGGAGGAACCACCACCCTCCGCTGAGAGACCTTGGGAGCGCATGGGGCTTGTGCACTGCTGGCCTGGCCTTGCCCCTGGCCTGTGCTGAGCGCTGCCTGCCTCCATGCAGTTTGAGGTCCACGAGAAGACCTACTTCAAGAACATCTTGAACAGCATCCGCTTTAGCATCCAGCTGTCAGTCAGGAAGATCCGGCAGGAGGTGGACAAGTCCACGTGGGTGCCTGGCCTGGAGCTGGGGGCTTGGAGGGTGGTTGCCATAGGAGAAGGCCAGTCATAAACACCAGGAGCCTGGTGGGGCAAACTGTCTCTTAGCCACACTGTTCTGGGAGCCACAGAGCCTATGCAGGTCATGGGAGGCAGCCATCAGGGTGGGGTTCAGCCTGGGGAAGGCCCAGGACATGGCCGTGGTCTGGGCCACCAGGTCAGCCTCCAAGGAGGAGAAGCCTAGGAGGTGGAGGGGAGTTGGGGAGGTAGTGTGGGCTCCCCGACCTAACCCCAGTTCCTCTCCACAGATGGCTGCTCCCACCACAGGCCCTCAATGCCTACTATCTACCCAACAAGAACCAGATGGGTAAGGGGGTGTGTCCAGGCAGGTAGTGGGGCCTGCAGGGGGTGGGTCTCACACTGACCACTCCCTCCCTGTAGTGTTCCCAGCAGGTATCCTGCAGCCCACGCTGTATGACCCTGACTTCCCACAGTGAGTACACAGCTGGCCTTAGCTGGAGCCGTGGTTGGGGCCTTGCCTGTGCATCACAGAGGGGCTGCTCAGACTGCCTCCAGCCCAGGCTGGGCCCAAGGGTCATGACAGCTGTGGACCCTGGGTCCCCAGTCTCAACTTGCCCTTGGTTATTTAGAAAAATGTAGTTTTATTTTTTCTTATTTTAAAGTGTCATAAGTACCCCTTAGCTGGCTTGAGGCTTCTTTAGATGTTTCAAAAGTGGAGCAGCCCTAGGGATGACAGAAAGGAGGTACCTCAGTTTCCCCCCTGTCTCCTCCCCTAGTCCCAGGCTTATTAGATGTTATTTCCTAAAAGGCCGCCGCACTGGTACCACGGTCCTTTTTACATATCCCACAAGGGAGCTGAGTGCCCCAGGACTATGCAGATGCCACCTCCAGGCCTAGTTGGGCCTTCCAGGGCGGGGCAGCAGTGCAGGGCTGTCAGGGAGCAGGTGAGGCTGGCGCTGACGGTGCTGCTGTGGGCCCAGGTCTCTGAACTACGGGGGCATTGGCACCATCATCGGGCATGAGCTGACCCATGGCTACGATGACTGGGGTGAGGCCTGTGGGTGGTCTGAGGGCTGGTAGGGGAGGGGGGGAAGGGGGGCGGGGCAGGGCAGTGCTGGGCCCCTCCATCCCCCTTGGCGGGTGGAGGGCAGGAGGGTGCTCAGGGAGTGGAGCCCTCTTGGCCACCCTGCCCACTGCCCACAGGGGGCCAGTATGACCGCTCAGGCAACCTGATGCACTGGTGGACAGAGGCCTCCTACAGCCGCTTCTTGCGCAAGGCCGAGTGCATTGTCCACCTCTACGACAACTTCACCGTCTACAGTCAGCGGGTGAGACCCTCTTGCTGCATTTGTGTCCCTCAGGCTGGCTTGACGCGGACTAGGAGAGTGCACACACATGTGCCCGCGCATGTGCCAGGACAAATCTGCGCCCAGGTCTCCACACATGCCCAGGGTCTGCGTGCACCTCACTGGGGCACATAAATGAGTTCACATAGGCTCACATGGCACATGCAGCACAAAGGGGTTGGAGGCTCATGCAAACCCTCAGCAAAGAGAAAGAGAGGGTGGGCAGGGGGCAGGGGGCGGGGCAGGGGCCCAGGTGGCAAAGCCTGAGGGATGCCAGTGGGCCCCAGGCAGCCCCCAGCCTCCTCCCTTCTTGGTAGGTGAATGGGAAGCACACACTTGGCGAGAACATCGCAGACATGGGTGGTCTCAAGCTGGCCTACTATGTGAGCTGCCCCTGCCTGAACGCTCCATCCTGGGTGGGGAAAGTGGGGTCCGAGGAGGGCTAGGCTGTGGACACAGGCACCCCTCCCTCCCGTCCTGCTGAGCTCTGGCCTTGGTGGGGGCTGTGCTGGGCCCAGGGTCCCTTGGTAAAGGAGGGACTCTCAGGCTGCACCTCTGGGAGCACTGCCTGGAGGGGGTGGCTCCTGCTTGGGTTTGTTTTGGTCAGGGAGCAGAGCTCTGGGAAGGTGGGAGGCAGAGAGCCAGGGGCTCGGCGTGGTGGGTGGTGTGCAGGGCTGGGGCCTGTGAGGGACTGACTGGGTGGAGAGTGAGTCATGTCCCCACACCGGGGCGCCACAGCTCCACGCTCTGTGCCCCCAGGCCTATCAGAAGTGGGTGCGTGAGCACGGCCCAGAGCACCCGCTGCACCGGCTCAAGTATACACACAACCAGCTCTTCTTCATCGCCTTTGCCCAGGTGGGCCGGGCTGCGGCCGGGGTATCGGGTGGGGGGCACAGCTTCCAGCCCGTCCCATCAGCTGCGCCTCAGAGGCAGGGGCCCCATGGACTCTGACGGGGGATTAGGGCCTGGTTTGCAGGGCCTAGTCAGTGGCCACCCAGCCTCATCTCCCCTCCCCGCTCAACCCCGGTGGGACACAGAATTGGTGCGTCAAGAGGAGGTCGCAGTCCATCTACCTGCAGGTGCTGACGGACAAGCATGCACCTGAGCACTACAGGTATCCCACCTGCCTGCCGGGGCCTCGCCCCTCCTTGTGTCCGGGGTGGGAGCAGGTTGGAGTGGGAGGGGACAGCTGGGGCTGGTGGCCACTGGGACCCACATGGCATGGGTCTCTGCTCCTACCCCAGGGTGCTGGGCAGTGTTTCCCAGTTTGAGGAGTTTGGCCGGGCCTTCCACTGCCCCAAGGACTCACCCATGAACCCTGTCCACAAGTGCTCTGTGTGGTGAGCCTGGCCGTCTGCCCGCACTGTACCCCCCACTGACCCGCACGAATCACCACCCCCGCCCCCCACTCCCGGCTGCTGGGACAGGCACAGGCCCGGTCCTGGCCCTGCCCTGGGTGCCACCTGCCTTCCTAGCCCCTCCAGGCCCTGGCCCCCTGTTGTCCTCACTTAAGGAGGGGCCAGAGCAGGAATGAGGTCAGCTCCAGGAGGGCACTGGGGGAGACGCTGGGGTCCCCAGACTCGGCTCTAGGAGCCAGACCCCTGGCCAGGCTGGATCTTACAGGCCCCACCCTCCCTGTGTTCTTGCTGCTAAGTTTGGTCAATAAAGCTGCTGTACTATCGCCTCAGCCTCTTGCAGGGCCCCTAGAGCTGCTGGGGCCAGAGGGACCCTTCGGAGGGCAGCCTCAGGCCCTTAGCGCAACCAGGACCCTAGAGAAGATCTTGTCCCCTTCTGGTGGCCTTGGCTGGGCCACCTGTGACCCACCGCCTCAGCTCCTCTATCCTTTCCACCAACCACCCATTCCTCCCTCCCCCAAATTCTGCCTAGGCTCCTGTGCCGCGGGCCAGGCTTGTGGGTGCCAGAGCACCAAGCCCAGGGACCTACACTCCAGCACAACACTGGGCCTCATGTCCCCTGTGAGTCTAGAGTGGGGCTCACCCTTGTGCCTGCACGAGTCTCTTCAGGGTTCCTTAGCCAGTCACTGAGCACAGGCCAGGCCTTGGCACAGGCATCTCTGAGAAACGGTACCTGTGACGGCACTTACTTAGAGCAGGAGGCCAGCCCACGTGGCTTCGAGGCACCCCTCTAGCCTGGAGCTGGGGCTACTGGGATGAGAGAAGGAAAGAAACGGTTGGGGTTCGTGATGGGGCTCCAGGCCTGGCCTGTGGTGGGAGGACAGGGATCAAGTGCTGCCCCATCACGGAGGCGGGTGGGGTGGTGGTAGGGCAGGGGCACAGAACTGTCCCATGGGGCAGCCCCACAGGGGCATTTGGTCAATAAAGCTGCTGTACTATCGCCTCAGCCTCTTGCAGGGCCCCTAGAGCTGCTGGGGCCAGAGGGACCCTTCGGAGGGCAGCCTCAGGCCCTTAGCGCAACCAGGACCCTAGAGAAGATCTTGTCCCCTTCTGGTGGCCTTGGCTGGGCCACCTGTGACCCACCGCCTCAGCTCCTCTATCCTTTCCACCAACCACCCATTCCTCCCTCCCCCAAATTCTGCCTAGGCTCCTGTGCCGCGGGCCAGGCTTGTGGGTGCCAGAGCACCAAGCCCAGGGACCTACACTCCAGCACAACACTGGGCCTCATGTCCCCTGTGAGTCTAGAGTGGGGCTCACCCTTGTGCCTGCACGAGTCTCTTCAGGGTTCCTTAGCCAGTCACTGAGCACAGGCCAGGCCTTGGCACAGGCATCTCTGAGAAACGGTACCTGTGACGGCACTTACTTAGAGCAGGAGGCCAGCCCACGTGGCTTCGAGGCACCCCTCTAGCCTGGAGCTGGGGCTACTGGGATGAGAGAAGGAAAGAAACGGTTGGGGTTCGTGATGGGGCTCCAGGCCTGGCCTGTGGTGGGAGGACAGGGATCAAGTGCTGCCCCATCACGGAGGCGGGTGGGGTGGTGGTAGGGCAGGGGCACAGAACTGTCCCATGGGGCAGCCCCACAGGGGCCGGGTCCTGGGCACATCCACAGTGATGGGGGGCCACTGGGCCTCTGCCCTTCCTCCTCCAGTCTTGTTTCTCTGACTTCAGGGACACACTAGGGGGTTCACCCCTCCTCGAACACTGCCTCCTGGGGCCCAGCCCTGTCTGTCAGCGCAGGGGTGAATCTCTTGCCAGCTCACCTCCTGTCATGCTCAAAGCAGGTCTGTCCCCTCTTAGGCTTGAGTGATGTTTAAAAAGTCCCTGTTATGTGAGTCTGGGGTGCACCAACCTTGGGGAGAGAGAAAACACCCCTGACTGAGCCAGAGTGGGAGGCAGGCCCACTGTTTGGCCCTGGGGGGCTCCACAGAGAAGCACCCAGGGGGGTCCCCTCTTCTGAAAGACCACACAAGCTGCAGGCATCAGCCGGGGGATCCTGCTCAGAGCTGTGTCTCCAGGGTGGGGCCCCCTGAAGGCCCTGGCTTGGAGACCTACCTCGGCCACTCCTCCAAGCCCTTTCACCCCTGGGCTGGACACGTGCGTACCGCAGCTAGGGCATGGGGACAGCTCTCCCCCTGCCCCAGCCTGCTGCCCGCCTGGGGGGGCCCAGGGTCTGGGACCCTTTGCATCTGTCCCCCACCCTGTCCCTCTGAGGGGGTCTGACTGGAATCAGAAGCCCCGGGCTCAGGCCTCCTGCTCCTGCCCCAGGCTCCCCAAGCTCCCCAGCTCTACCCAGGATCATCCCTCATGTCTCCCTGCTGCCTTAGGAAAGGCCTCAAGGTTGGGGAGCCTGGGGAGTGAGCTTCCAGCCGGCCCATCGGGGGCCCTTCTGCTCTACCTCAGGAAGTCAGGGAAAGCCCCGGCACTCCTGGGGCCAAGCCCTGGCACTCCTTGGGCCAAGCCCCTGCCCTCCCGTCTGTGCCAGGGAGAGGCCAATGAGGACTGGGTCCTTGGGGGAGGACGCAAACTTCCTAGCCTGGAGGCCTAGTCCAGAGCTGGAAGTGGGGAAGCCCTGTGGGCCTCGGCTGCTGGCTGGGGTCCTGATGTCCAGTGGATGTCCCAGCTGGGGAGCAGCCACCCTGCTGGCAGTACTGTGGTCTGAGGCTGTGAGGCCACCAGAGACCCCTCAGCCTGACCAATCTATGCTGGGCTCCAAGGAGGCCATGTCACTGTCTGGCCCTGCTGGGCTTCTCCTCTGGGGAGAACCGAGGGAGACCCGAGGGCCAGAGGCAGCATAAGCCAGGGCATCGTGGGGACAGAGTCCTGGTGCTTAGACAGGGCCCACGAGGTTCAGACACAGCCACAGAATCCAGAGCCAAGGTGTGGTATGGCAGGGAGCCGTTGTGATGTGGTGGGTCACCCACTGGTTTCCACACTTTTCTGAACAGACCCTAAGAGCATCCTCGCTGCAGCCCAGTAACAGAACAACAGGAATGCCGTTAACAGATGGGAAACTGGAGTCATGAGTTGCCTGAGGTCACACTGGTCTCATCGGCTGAGGGGGGCCGTTGGCTGCTGAGTCCTGCTGGGGTCCTGCTGCCGTGCTGTACTCAGCCTCAGCTCTCAACGTGCTGTGTTAGGAATCATGCATGAAGGGTAGGCACTGGCCATTTTGCCGTCTGCCAGATCCTGTGCTGGCAGCCAGGCTGAGGATTAGCTGGCTGATTCTGCTGGAGTAGAGGATTTCAGCAAGCTCAGCACGGTTGCCCGCTGGGCCTCGGTTTCCCTTGTGAGCGAGAGGCCCTGAGTGCAGTGGTGAAGGCCCTTCCGGCCACAGAGGGGTGATTCCAGAAGTGCCTCAGGGTCGGTTAGTGTAGGGTTGCTCCCACCCATCTCCTGAGGGCCGGCCGTCCATGGAGGAGGCCTGGCTAAGCACCGGTCATTGGGATGACAGAAACCGGTCTTCAGCTAAGCATCTACTGGCAGGGAAATAGAGGAGCTCAGGGATGGTTTACACCTGCACTGAAGCTGAATGCCCACCTGTGTGCCCATGAGCAGTGGGCTGCACAGACCCCCACTCCTGCCCAGGGTCCCTGTTCTGCCACCCCCAGCTCTGAGACCTGGCCTTGAGCCAGGGGGTCCCTGCTGGGAGGCCTCTGCAGGGGGCTCATGCTCTACGGGCTCCAGGGGCATTATCAGCAGGCCTGGGGCAGGGTGAGCGGTGGGCCGGCCTGCAGTGGATTGACATGGCCCCCTACCCCCACCCCACCCAGGACTGCCCTGCGGCTGCCCCTGCAGGGTGAGCTGGACTCTGAGTCCTCAGGGCAAGGAAGCCAAGCCCTCGGCGCAGAGCCTGCGGGTGCCAGCTCTGCACAAACCTGGGAGTGAGCTGAAGCCAGTTGGAGAGGTAGGCTGGTGTCTAGGCTTCCCTGCCCAGATCCTGGACAGGACGTGGGCATTGGCAGCCCTGGGATTTCTGGGGCACCCAGGAAGGGCATGTGGTGTCTGGTGCCACTGAGCAGCCCTGAGCCCCAGACCTTTCTAACCAGCTCAGTGGAGCCCAGATGCAGGTTCCTGCCACCCGTGTGGTTGCTTCTGTGCTGACCCGGATGCCCTTCACCCTGCGGGTCCCAAGTGAGGTGACCTGGATGCAGTGTTTTAGTGGCTTAAGCTCCATTCCAAATGTGTCAGGAAGCCAGGCTCCCCCTTGTGCAGACACCTCTGGGTTGGGGGGGTTCTCAGGGACTTGGGTTTCTCCTCCTGCCCTTTCTTACTATCGTGCCCCCCATGGTGGATGGGCAACCCAATCCCTTTCCTCCCAAGACCCCCCATAAGCCTGGGTAAAGTCACAGATATTCCTGAGGTTTGGGGTACCGGGGGCCTTCACTGCCCCCCGCTCTCCTCCTCCCCTACGGATGCCTTGCCCCTCCCCCTTACTGCCTGAGAAACTCACTTTTCCTTGATTTATTGAAAAGAGCTGCTTTCCCTTCCCCTGCCGGCTCCAGGCTTGCCCAGAGGCTGGGCACTGTCTGTGCCCCTGAGGCTGTCTCCTCAGCCCACCGTGCAGCAGGACAGGGCAGGTGGCAGGGTGTGTGACATCTGGCTTCCCTCTCGTCCCCACAGCCTCCGTAGGAACTTGGGCTGATTGAGTTTGGGCAGCATGTCCCCGAGGGGCACCCCGGCAGTCTCGCTCTTCACTGAGTCCGGGGACAGTGGCTCTGCCTGCGGCTCCGCAGGGTCGCGGGCCCTGCCTGGAAAACCGCCAGAGGCGGGGACTCCCATGTCCCAGGGCCTCCTTCCCTTTGGGAAAACTAGCTGGCAGCTGGCCTGGCCTTTCCCGTAGAGTCCTGATACTGATCTGGGCCCCACCCGGGGTCCTGGTGGGGTCCCTGGCCTGAGACCCCTCCCTGCCTTGCTGTCACCCTGCACACCATTCATGCTTCGGCTCTGGGTCCCCTGAGGAACTCCTCCTCTGAAAGCCTGGCGGTGTCCAGCGTGAGCTCCTCGGGCAGGAGGGCAATGAGGCAGCGCCCGGACCCTGACCTCAGCTGCGGCTCATGAGATGGGCGCCTCTGGCAGCCGCTGACGCTGATTCATTGGGCAGCAGGCGGCTCAGATCCCAAGCCACTGTCACATGGTGCTGTTAGGCAGCATCTCTCCTTGTCTATACTCTGCATAAATAATAATAATAATAATAAGCAAACCTCCCACCTTCCTGCGGGACCAGGATGTCACGGGGGCTGCTGAGGGATCTGCCAGGAGAGGGTGACCTGGCTATTTCCCTCTCACCTGAGGAACCCAAGCTGGGAGGGCAGGGGAGGGGAGGGGAGGGGAGTTGAGGAGAGGGGAGAGGAGTTGAGGAGAGGGGAGAGGAGGGGAGGGGAGGGCCAAGCTGGCTGATGTGGAGGAACTTGCAAATTTGGTGAGCAAAGGAAGGGCCAGAACAGGACGCTGCGGCCTGAACGCCTCCTTGTGGAGGGTGGATAGAGGTCTCACCATTTGGGATGGGGTGGCTATTTTCTCCCTAAGGGGCAGCTCAGGAGACACACGACTGGTTCCTGGGCCCCACGCCAAGCACTGTGGTGCAGACTGGGTGTCCCCAGTGGCAAGGTTAGATAAAGGGGAACGCTGGCTGCCTGTTGTCAGTGCTGCGGCCTGCTGAGGGCATTGGGAGCAACACGCCAAAGCTCTCCCCAGCTAGGGTAAGCAGGCCCTGGGCCCCTTGGCTCAGAGGGCACGACTGAAAATGCCGCACAGCTTCTTGCAGGCCCCTGGGGGCCCCGCAGGGAGGCAGGGATGAGGGGGACAACCCCAAAGGGGCAGCGGCTTGACACGCAGGTGCTGACCGGGTGGAGAGGCCTGTTTCTGGAACGGGAGGGCTCACAGCATCAGAGGGGCACGTCAGCGCCAAGGCCAGGAGGAGGCACACTGGGTATCCTAGCTGAGGCCCCCCCGAGAGGCTGCGAGGAATTGTGCCTTTTGCCCATCATGACACATCCTGTGTCAGCCACGGGACCTGTGCTGGGCTTGGGGCAGGGACAGGGGCCCAAGGGGACTCTGTGTCCTGGGAGCTCTGGGTGGAGGTCTGCTGGGAGTGGCCATCCGCAGTCAGAGGGTGTTGTCATCTGAGTGTCTGGGCCCAGGCACACCTGTCTCCCACGGATCTCAATGGATTAGGCTAAAGGGACACCACCTTCCTGAGTGCCTACTGGTGCTGGGCCCTCCCTGGGAGAGAGCACCCTAAAAACAGGAGTGAGCACTGTTCCTGCTTAATATCTTCCTCCATGCTAGCATTGTGACCCTGTCACCCGGGCCCCACCTCCAGCAATGGTGTCCTGGGGGCAGAAAAGGAGGGTGCCACAGGCATGGGGTGGCACAGCGCCCACCGCCATTCACTCACTCCCAGTAGTTTGCAGCATAGAGTTTAGTGTGTCTGGCTAAGTGGATTTATGGATTATATGATCTAGTTTAAAAACAAACTAATCCTTCAACATGATCGAGTAGCTTACAAAAGATTCCTGTCAAGGAACTGCAAGTAAGACCAATAATCCACACCAGGTGGACACGCACAGAAGTGGCAGTTCTGACCTACATCCTTCCTGAGGAATGCTCGTCATCACCCATGTACGGACCCCTCAAGAAGCCCCAGATATAAAAATAAAACCAAACCGTTGGCAGCACCCCCACCTGCACCGTCGCTGGTGAGGCCTTTCCTGGGTGGCCTCTGCCTCAAGAGCTTGGTCAGTAGCAGCACGAAATCCTCCCAGGTTGGCAAGGCATTTAAAAATGAAGCTTCAGAACATGAAAACCCCCACAGCTTTTTCCCGGCAATGTTTAAAGTTATGTGCTGTTCAATCCGGTGCTTTTTGATACCTCCCTAAGCAATGATAAATATGTGGAAAGCTCTTTTAAAGTTCCTTGCATAATAGCATAAGACAAAAAACACCTACCACCAGGCAAACACTTATTCTTTCTGCTGCAGTAAAAATGGCAGAAACAATGGATGCAAAATGATCTGTCGGCAAACCAAAAGGCATTCCTCTGTCAGCAAATATTGTCGGAAGATGTAGAGACAACACTGCCGTAGACTGGAAGAAAGTGTTAGAGCACATTACCCAGTGTGGGAGCTTTGCTGCACAGTTGGCTGTAAGGACACATGAATCTTAGCTTAAGGTATTTGCCTGATTCTGTTACAATAAGAAACTACACAAACTATATTTTTGTGGGCATGTATGAGCTACCAAAGGAAAGACAGAGCAGAGAAGATATATCCCCTACAGTAAAAGCCTTGTTTAATAAAAAAAAAGTCACAGGGGGAACACAGCGTAAGTGTACCCACTGATGGATAAGGACAGGATTTTGTTTTTAAGGATTCTGGATAAGAAAAAGGTACAGAGGTAGCAGCATCTGCCAGATTCACGCATTGGCCCATCTGCAGTCAGACCATTTCAGGAAAGAACTTTAAGCCCATGGACACGTAAAGTGCTGTGGGAGCCGTCAGTCGTGTTAACCTGACAAAACGAAGACTGTCCTAGTAGACGCTTTTTATTTGGTAGTAAGATTGGGTGAGACCTTTAGTGGCATACAGGTGTGTGCGCGCGCACACACACACACACACACAGACACAAGTGGCTTGTATATTCATTATTGGAAATAGAATTGAGCTCACGTCTTAAGCTAAGATGCGCAGAAACATCTTAGAGCTATTAGTCTGAGGCACCCAGTAAAAAGCTTGAGAAAATAAATGTACCTCCCCTTCAAGGCAAAGATGTTAAAACAGATGCTTGAAAAATGTTTCCATGGACATGTGATTTTGTGGTCAACAATGTGGGCGATTGATAGAACCCCTCTACCTACACATTAAAAAAAACTTGGATGCAGAAAATGTTTTTAAAAATTTAGATATAATTTACCTGCTATAATATTCACTCTTTTAACGTGTACATTCAGTGGGTTTTAGAATATTCAAAGTTCTTCAACCACCATCATTAGTTCCAGAATAATCTGTTTTTTACGCCTGTAGAGTTTTTAAAAGTAGACTTTCCTTGGGTTTTGAATCCGTTTATGAAACATAAACATACAAGACCCTCTCAAATAATTGACAACAGGGAGGACAGAAACATAGGAGCTGGATTTTAACAATTTTTCATAATTGGTGGATGCAGTTTAAAATGGAGTAGGTGGTTTAGCGAGCCTGGCTACTGATGCCCTTGTCCTGTTCAGCTCCCATATTTTTGTGATAGCCAATAAAATCCAGAATTGAACTAAAAAAAAATGCTGCTAGTGAAAAACTATAGGATGAATTAAGAGAAAATCTTTCAAGTTCATATTCCAACCAGGGTGGACAGAGGAAGAGCATTTATGTATAGACAGTGTACTCTTAAACACATCTCTAATTAAAGTCCCTCACTTGAATCCAGAGAAACAATGCTGAAAACTGGACACTTGATATGTAGATCTTTCAGTCAGATGCTGAAATTTTTCAGTATTGGAAAACTTATCCAAATACACTTTCTGCGGTAATCTAATCTTTGGATCACTGAACTCTGTGGTCCCTCAAAAATATATATTTAATCCTACTTAGTAAATTCCTTAAATTCCCATGCTAACTGCACCTATNCTCTGGCTTCCCAGTCCGCCCTGCGCCCCCTCCCTCCAACGAAGGAAAGCAGGACACTCCTCACTGCAATAACCAGTGCGACATTTTCCAAGAGTCCGGGCGGGTCATGTTTTGCCCTGCTGAGAACCTTCTGATCACAGACCGCCCTCTGGATGAAGTGCAGCCTCTTCACCGCCTTCCCCCCGCTACTCCCCCAGTACCTGTTAAACCCCTCAGATAGCACTTGCTGACTGCTGCCTCAGGGTCCTTGCTGTCTGGCTGCCCGGCTGTCCGTCCTGCGTTGCCTAACCCCTCACTTCTCTTTCCTCCAGGTCTGCTCCTCAGGCAGCCCCTCCCCACCCCCTGATCTGAATGATCTGCTCCCTCCCCTCACTCATAGAAACTCTCTGTGCCCCCACGTTTTTCTTTTTTGAACAAATCCCTGCTGGCATAATATATAACAGTTTATTTGATTATTGCTCGTCCCTTCCAGAAGAACAGAGGCCCCGGGAGGGCGGGGAATCGCCTCTGTCCACAAATCAGTGCCCAAGGGGCCGCAGGGAGGGGGCAAGGGCTGCTCTGGGGCTGCGGCCCTGCGCGCCCAGCCTCCCGCAAGCCCCTTGGATCTCCCGGCCTGGAGTGGGACTGGGGTTGGTGGTTTCAGGAGCTCAGTGACTTGAGACGCGTCTCCTCTCTGTGTCCGTCTCCTCTGCGTGCAGTGGTGCTGCTGGGGCCCTCGGGGGGGGAGGGCAGCCGGGGGGCTTGGTGTCACGCTCCCCCTGGGCGGGCGGGCCTCAGCAGCCTGGGGGTGGGGGGCAGCAGGGTGCCTGCCGGGCCGGTGGCAGGTGACAGGAAGCCGCCCCGCAGCTGGGTGCCCGGAAGTGCCGAAGTCCTCGGGTCCCAGGGTGCTGCGGCCACGGAGGCCGGGAAAGGGACCGCGCGGGGTGCGGGACGGCGGCCACCGGGTCCTCCGGAGGGCGACCTGCGGGACGGCGGCCGGTCCCAGCCCCCTCCCTACCTGGGGCGCCGGGCGGGGAGTGGGCAGCAGCCCCGGAGGCCCGCGGGCGCCGCAAGGAGGCCTCAGCAGCAGCCTCAGCGGGCCCTGCGGGCGGGCGCCACCGGGCGAGGAGCGGTCCGGGCGGCGTGCGGGGGGAGCCCCGGGGGGCGGCGGCCGGGGGTCGTGCGCGGGGCGCTCAAGGAGCGGCGGCCGCCCGCAGCGGCAGCAGCAGCAGCAGCAGCCCCGCCAGCAGCGGCAGCGACGGCGGCCCGGACCCTCCCCTCCCGGCGGCGGCGGAGGCAGGGGGCGCCAGGTCGCAGGCCGCGTAGGGCTCGAGGCAGGCGGCGAAGGCCATGACGTGCGCCACGAAGCTCTGCTCCTGCACGCCGTGCACCAGGTGCGCCTGCGGGCCGCGCGCGAACACCGCCACGTCCTCTCCGCCGTGCGTCTCGGAGGACAGCGGCACCGCCGCCTGCTGCTGGTACGCGGGGTCTCCTGGCCGGACGGGGAGGCTCAGGGCCG